CGTAACTGCTAGTGATAATGAAAAATATAGTTTTTCTGAGCTTCAAGGAGAAAAATGAAACAGAATATTGAACACATAATGTTGTATCATAGTATGTAGAAAAATGCATTCTATGTTAATGTATATTATTCTCCAAACAATAAATCACCTATATGTAAAAACCTTAAGGATCACATAGTATATGTTTTACATATAATATGAATGATTTGAATTTGTCCTCCAAGTTTTTATGTATTGAAAGTTCATCCCCACTGTGCAGCATTAGGAGGGTGGAAACAATCTGACTAAGATGTTTAGATATGAGACCTTTGGGAGGTGCTCAGTATTAGATAAAGTCATTAAGGTGGTACCCCTGTGGTTGAATCCTGGTGGCTTTATAAAAAGAAAGAGACCACAACAGAAACACTTTCACATATGTGCTCTTTGTCTCTTGCCAACTGATGCTGTGTGCTACTTTGGGACCCTGCCAGCAAGAAGGCCAACAGCAGCGGCCAAACCACAGGAGATATCTAAACTTTGAGCCTCCTCAACCATAGGCCAAAAGAAAACTCTTTTCTCTAAAACTTACCCAATCTGTGGTTCTTTGTTATTAGCAATAGATAACAGATTAATATATCATATAAAGAAATTAAAGGGCTGGGGATGTGGCTCAAGTGGTAGCATGCTTGCCTAGCATGCATGAGGCACGGGGTTCTATTCTCAGCACAACATAAAAATAAAATAAAGATATTGTGTCCACCTAAAACTAAAAAATAAATATTAAAAAAAGAAGTTAAAAATGTCAATTAATGAGTTTCAAGATCATAAAAAGAAGGATAAGAGAAGGCTGGGGTTGGGGCTAGGGATGTGGCTCAAGCGGTAGCGCGCTCGCCTGGCATGCGTGCGGCCCGGGTTCGATCCTCAGCACCACATACAAACAAAGATGTTGTGTCCGCCGAAAACTTAAAAAAAAAAAAAAAAAGAGAGAGAAGGCTGGGGTTGTAGCTCGGTGGTAAAGCACTTGCATAGCATGTGTGAAGCACTGGGTTCAATCCTCAGCACCGCATATAAATAAGTAAAAATAAAGGTCTATCAACAACTAAAAAATACATTTAAATAAAAGAAGGATAAGAGATATGGACTCTGGAATAAGTCTGTGTCCAAATCCTATCACTAGCATTAGCTTGACAACACACTCGTAATGTGATCTTAGGGCAGTTGTTTAATATTATGATCCTTTAAAGGAATGTCATAGGTTTAAATGAAGCAATAAATGCTTGCATCAGTATAAGTCCTCAATGGCAGAAAGAGTTACATACACAGATATATATGATATCATATCTCTATTTCCAAAGCATAGGATACAATAGTGATTAAAAGATAAAATATTTTTCCCATCTCTTATGACTTCAATCGCATCCCCTCTAAAATACACATGTTGAAGTCCTAACTCTCAATATCTCAGAATAGGACCTTATTTGGAAATAGGGTTATTGTAGATGTAATTAGTTAAAATGAGATCATAATGGAGGAAGATGGGCCCTTAATCTAACATGATTGGTGCCCTTACACAGAGGAAGAACATTATGTGAACATCAAGGCAGGGGATGTGCTTATAAGCCAAGGGAACACCAAGGATTACCTGAAAACTACCAGCAGATAGGAGAGAGGTATGGAGCAGATTCTTCTTCACAGCCCTCAGAAAGAACCAACCCTGAAGATATCCTAACCTTGCTCTTTAGCTCCCAGAACTGTGACACAATAAATCGTCTTGTTTAAGCCACCTAGTCTGTGGTGCTCTGATATGGCAGCCCTAGCAAATTAATACAATATCCAATTTGTTGACTCAGATATACAGGATTTAGTGGGGGGGGGGAGGGAGAAAAGTACATGGTAAATGCATTTTAAAATGTAAAATTCTAATTTTAATATATCTCTAAAGCCAACTTTTTCATTCATTAATTTAATTGTTTTTGAGTTTCAAAAATGACAATTTCATGTGGTTTACCATAAGATCACATGATTACTGAGCTGAAACAAGGGTTTCCCTTGCTGTTTGCTTAATAAGGCTATCAGGGACACATATTTTGTACTAGAATTTTTACACAGATCACCAGCTATATGACCTTGTCCAACTCCCTTACTCTTCCAGAACTTTTTTTCTCCTTTTTAATATAAGGGGGTGAGGATAGACTCCTCCTCCTCCTCGTCTCTAGCTAAGACATCATGAGTCTTATAGGAAGCCTTGACAATCTAGCAGATTATGGCTCACAGTCCAGGTAGGCTAAAAGCAGAGCTGCTTACAGTAATCAGCTTTGATAATATAAAAAAAAAACTGAAGAAAAATACTAAAAGAGATTTCCCCAGCAAATTAAATATTCAAAGTGAAGAACCCTGAATTATTAAAGTCTGTCACCATTTAGAATGCACATTTTTAACATAAACACATTAGAAATATTTCATTCACTATGTATTGTTAGTAAAGGGTGTCCTCCATCTAGATTTTCATGGTATTAATGAATTAACCATAGAATGCAAATTGTCATTATTTTGAATTATCTATTTATTATTGAATTATACTTAATTTTAGACTCTCCTAAAATGGCCTAATAAATGGCTAATATCATCCTAATAAATGACACTAAATCTGTATCATCTGCTTCCTCTATGCTATTTACTGGAAATAATTATAAAATAGCTATATTGTTTGGGAATTTCATCTCCCCCTGAGATGAAAGCTAACCTGAGTGGGGGTGGACCTAAATAAAATATCCTAAAAATGTAATGCATATTTTTTTGGTGAGGGTTATTAGTAAAATTTTGGTCACACTAAAATCAATAAAATCAACAGTTGTATACTACCACAGAATCAATTTGATACAATGATTTCACATAGCAACTAAATAAAGTTACATCACTACTACCCTTAGACCTGGGCAAGAGGACGGTGCCCTTAGCTTCTGTATATTATAAGCCTGTTCTGACTCTCCTCTGGCTACTTATTTGAACAAGGCAAGGAGGCTCCAGGGTCAGAGGACATGCCATCAGAAGCTTACACACACATATTCTCTTGTAGGACACATTACAGGTATCCACTCCCTGATTCCTGCTTAAAGAAGCTACTTTCCAAGGCCTTCAAAAACCTCTTTCCTGGGCTGGGGCTGTAGCTGAATGGCAGAGTGCTTGCCTAGCACATGTGAGGCACTGGGTTCAATCCTCAGCACCACATAAAAATAAAAAACAAAAGCATGCTGTCCATCTACAACTACAAAAAGAAAAAAATAAACAAACAAACACAAAAACCCTCTTTCCTGGTTCACTGAAGTTCAACCTGAAGTTCACCCTTAGGCCAAGAGAAGGTAGGCATGTAAACAGCTGGGATTTGTGGGTGTGGGGAGCAGGAAAGGCACATATATCTTTGCCCCTGTGTGAGGTCCTTCATGGTGCAAGACTGAGCCTGGGGTGAGAAATTAGGGAGTAGACTAGGGAAGGAGTCAGAATGAAATTCCACCCTGGATTTCCAGGTTTTTGTGAGAGCACATGGGTCAATGTATGAGAAGAGATCCTTTTTTACTTAGTTTATTATCTTGATTTGTAACTGTTCATATACAGGCAGATGGTAGGAGGACCTTCATCCTTATTCTTGCTCTTCGACCACTGGAGTGTGAAAGAAAGGCTAAGTAATATTATGATTTTATATTGTTGACTGTTGAGTGTCTCCTGTTCTAATGATCAATTTACTAGTGTAAGTCACAAGTTGCACATAAGTGAAATTAATAACTGAATCACCAAAAGAAGTGAACAATAAGGGATTAAAGTTTCTTTTTTTTTTTTTTTTCTGCCCTGTGGGTTTTAGAATATGGTTGCCTTTCTTCAGGAAGCTTTTTGTCATGCTGATGATGGTGTTGTAAAAGCTGATGCTTCCTATGTGCTGGGCCCTCTTATAAACAATAACACACTGCCAGGCATGTGCCATCACGCTGTAATTCCAGTAGCTCCGGAGGCTGAGGCAGGAGGATCACGAGTTCAAAGCCAGCCTCAGCAAAATCGAGATGCTATTTAACTCAGTGAGACCCTGTCTCTAAATAAAATACAAAATAGGGGTGGGGATGTTACTCAGTGGTGGAGTGCCCCTGAGTTTCAATCCCCGGTACGACCCCTCCCCCGCAGCCAAACAAAAACAAAAACAAATCAATAACACATATTAACTAATCTAATATTAAATTAATCCTGCTGTAACAGCCTCATCATTTTACGTATAAGGAAACCTGGGCTTCAGTGAAGAAGGTAATTTGCAGGTGGCCACAGCCTGGTAGTGGAAGAAGAGATCTGAGCCAAGGCTGTCTGAGTCCACAGCTTCTGCTGGAGGATTCTACAGGATGTCCGGAATATTGTCCATCAGAGACATCTGCACAAATAAATGTCTGTTTCCCAAGCAACTAGTTAACAACCTTTCCCTCTCCACCCATGAGCACCTGCAGCACTAAACATATCCTTAGAGGCAGCGTGGAGTTTTCAAGTAAGGGGGTGAACACAGCAGTATTTGGGGTTGTTTTTTGTGTGGTATTTGTTTTGCTTTTAGGTGCTGGTGGGGAAACAAGCTTACCACAGTGCCTGGCTCTCAGCAAATCCTGAGAAAAAAGGAGGGAGGGCAAGTGGAAGGAAGCGAGAGAAGGCATTTTGTAACGCAATTTGTGCAAATCCCGAAGGATGAGGCAAGGGAAACACGGGGGAGAAGAGGGAAGCACACCCAGGACTCAAAGCCGCTTACCCAACCATCTGCCTGTAGTCTCCGCCCGTGGGCTCAGAGGCCGTGGATCTACATTCACCACTGCCCAGCACTAGTCCAGCTCTCGGAAAACCTCTGCCCCGCCTTTCCGTGACGTCCTGCCTTCGCCCTCTACGGCGCCCAGCCCCGCCCCTCACCGCTCCTCTCGCCCCGCCCCACGTCGCCCCGCCCCCGGCAGGAGGCCTGGCCGCGTGTTTACCCGCAGTGCATGGTGGGGCGGTCTCCTCGGGCAACCAAGACCCGTCCGTTGCCCAGCGGCGAGGCGAAGAGGGCGGGTGAAGTGGCGGCAACATGCACCGGGCCCCCGCCTCGTCAGCACCCCTGGCGAGCCCCGACTACTACGAGAGGGTGGGCCATCTTCAGCATGGGCTACGGGACAGGTAGGGCGACCATGGGAGAGGGCGGGCAGTGGGCCCGCGCCTCTGAGGGTCTTCTGGATGCCCTGTCCTCTGTTCCTTACCATTTTCCCCTGCTTGCTGTTCACCTGGGCCCGGAGTCCGCCTGCGACACCCCAGAGGCTCCGAGTGGAGCCTAGAGTTCAAAGTTTGCTAGAAATATCTCTAGTGTAAGTGGTGCGCGCTGAGAAAGGTGAGACACCCCTCCCCCTACAGAAACTAAAGCCGGGGACCCCCTTGAGGATGCGGCTGCGACTCTGGATTTGCCCATAAGTGAGAGTGGGAGTTCTCCTGCCTGTCACTCTCCATCAGGTCTTATGAATTTCTCTAGCCCCCTTCTACATGCCCCCCTCCTCACTCTCTCTTCAAATTGTCATCCGACCTTGACAGCTGCACTGCATCAATGATGACAGGTCCAGGAACGCAGGCTGGAGAGAGAGAGAGAGAGAGTGTTCGTCAAACACATGCCCTATTCAAATGCTGGAGACTTTTTTGGGGGGGAAGCTGGGCCTAGCTAGATATCCAGGAAAAAGACGAAATTTCTAGCAGGAGAAGTTCAGCTTCCAGAGGATTCGTATTGCCTTTGATTAAGACATGAAAGATGAGAACCATCCAAAACAGTTACATCTAAGAGTGCATAAAGAGGGAAAATTATGAAGCAATTGACTATTAATAACCAAATGAAAGATAAGTTGTTGGAAATCTTATTTAGCTACTAAATTAGTTGGAGTTAGAAATCTCATTAGTTGACAAGAAAGGAAATAGATTTTTGGATCTCTTGATAAACAAAACGTTTAATGAGTATTAAAAGTTACAAAACCATTCTAGTAAACGGGAGAGCTGCGTATGTCACAATTCTAAAATGATAACAGTACAGTAATTACATGTAAGGTAAAGGCAGAAGTGATTTTGAAAATGAATTGCATTCATCTTATGCTGGATTTAATTTTTGTCAGTTATTTTACAGAGCCTCTACAACAGGCCTCCTTAATTGTCCTCATTATATTTTATCTTCTTTTGAACATCCAATTTCTTCCTAACATACTGTCATTCACCTACTCTAGGATCTTCTTCATCTGCAAATAAAAAAAAAAAATTGTTCCCTATAGAACCTTCCCTGCCCCAACACATTTATTGCACTCTCAGCATTCCTATAGCACTCTTCATGGAGGCTTAAGTTCTTGTTGCCTAGACTAAGAATTCTAGGGGCACAGGAACCGTATCTAGCTGAATTTTCAGCTCACAGTAGAGGACCTGTGGCGAAGGAGGCCCTTGATAAATATTTGTTGAATTTATGAAAGAAATCCCAAAGTCAACCAGCTATGTCTAGGAGTTATGAATATCTTAAATAGAATTGAGCAGCCACATATTGTTACTAAATAATGACCATTTTCCAGCCAACCAGGTAGAATGGATCCTATGATATTTCCAAGATGATCTTAAGTGTCTGCATATACCTGATAATTAAAAAACAAGTTAACGTGTTTCAGTACATGTAAAGTGTTTTTTTGACTTTGTGTCTATTCTATTTGAAGGGTGGCTTAGCTATCCCAGGTTTTTAGTTATTTGTGTGTCTTAGCCAAATATTTGATCTTAAAATGTTACTGATTTAAATGGTTTTCTTTCTGAACTAAGTTAACTGTGAGTTATTTTTGCTTCCTATACTAGGAACACATGGCTGTTTATAGTCTTTATGGTACAATAACTGTGAAATGATTGCTCACTTTATGTTTAACACTTATTCCTTTAATTATTAAGCAAGGTGAGGCTGTTGAAATTGAGAAATTCAAGTCAAATTTTATGGCCTATTCACACTTCTGTTTTTGGAATTCATGTTTTACTTATAATTTAGTACATATCTATTGCTGTGTGTATTCATTTTTCATTTGAAGAATCCATTACTAATTCTAATTAATACACAGTATACACAAAATAGAAGCAAATAACTTTAAATACATAGAAGGCTACAGTAAAAATGTGGAAATCCGAGTTCTAATCCATGACCAGTTTTGAGATCTTGAGCAGGTCATTTGGCCTTTCCGAACCTTGATTCTTTTCTAGAAATAAGGGGACTTGACTAATAGAGCCACATATTTTTTTTCTACTATAATGGGTTTGAAAGTTTTTTTTTTCAATTGTAAGCTATAATTTTGCAAAACAATACATAAAGAATATCATTGTCCATGTCCTATTTGAATGTTTGGGTGTACTTTTTCCTAAAAACCAATCCCATTGACCACAGGGTTCATTGTCTCTTAAAATTCTAGTAATTTCAAAGGTTGTAAGCTGGGAAGTAGTCACAGATGCTTAAATTCAGAAACTTCTGGAGAGTGGAAGATTAAAAAATAAGACAAAAAACCAAATGAACAACAACAAAAAAACCCACCTTTTATTCTTTCTCAGCCCCTTTAGAGGAGGTCATTGAAATGTTACCTGATCTAATAATCATGCTTTTCCCTTGTAACTGCCATGTTTCAAGCCCAAGTCATCTTATCTGTATTCTCCCATAGATGGAATTTTATTATCTGAATGTTTTCCTGTGTTTATACACTATTTTCTTTTCATTGTGGTAAAAGTCAATAATTGAATCTAGAAGAGTCTAATGGAGTGACTTGTTATACTATGTATATTGCCCTGCCCATAAACATGGTAGAAACATACGTAGATTCGACTCTTAGAATTATTGTATATAAAAACATCTTTTTAAAAGGCCCATTAATTAGTTCCAGTTTTTTCACTGCCAATATTGATTCAAGTGACATATCAAAATAGAAATTGATACAGATCTTAGTTGAATAAAGTTGAAGACAATGGAGAGTTGTGCTGTTGAAGCAAAAGGATGAAACTCAGACATATAAGGACTATCCAGCTGTGTAAAACTTCACAAGATCCAGATGAGGAAGGGGTATAATGGACTAAAAATGTGGACTATTTAAGTATCCCAGGACAGGATTCTGTAGTAGAAACTTAATATGTAGGAATTATAAGGTAATCCAACAATAGGCCTTTCCTTGTCTTTTTACTGGGATAACAATCTACTTTAAGTCTTACATCTAAAACAGGTGCGAATGACTTAGCATTCAGAGGTGCTGCAGTATGGATGAGGGGTTTAGAAAATAGGCCAGTGATAAGATTAGCAGCATTTTTGCCTAAAATAGAGGACCAAGAGGTGTTTTTTAGTATGTGAAATGTTCTGATAGAGAGTGTGACCAGTAGGTATCTGCATCTACTTGAATAAAGGACAGGAAAAAAGAAGTTTTGCTTTCATTATTAAAAAGAACTTGTTGCTTGGGAGGTGATGGATTTCCAGAAATTGTGATCCTTTTTGACTAGATACCATGGATTATTTTTTTAAATTATTTAAAGTAAATTCAAGATTACAGAAAAGTTGGAAATGTGGGACAAAGACTTCCAATATTCCTCTTACCCAGATTCTTCAACTACTGCTTTATTACATTTTCATTTTCTCTGTCTACCTATCTAAAATCATTAGTCTTTTTGAAACCATTTGACAGATAGGATGCCCCATTACTCCTAAAATCTCTAGTGTGTATTTCCATAAAACAATGACACTTTCTTATATAATCACCGTACAACCTTCCCAGTCAGGATTCATCCTTGATCTACCAGTCTACAGATTACCAGCAGATTTTACCAGTAGTCCTAACAATGTATGTTTTTCTTTTCTGGCCAAGGGTCTCATCCAGAAACCTGGATTACATTTTGTTTACCATGTCTCTTTAGCCTTTTCCAATCTGAAATGATTCCTCAGTTTCCCTTTTTCATGTTTTTGATAATTTCAAAGAGTTCAATATTTGCTCTAGAGAGTGACTCTCAAGCTGGATCCATCTGTTGGCCTCATGAGCATACCACAGTCATTCATTTTTGCCAAGAATACCACATAAATAAAGCATTGCATTGGAGGCACGGAGTCATAGATGCACTTAAAAGTCATTCTGGCCTACTAATTTAATGACAAATTGCCCATACTACCCAATTATTCATTCCTTTTAGTTATACATGACAGTTCATTCCTCATGATCAAAGTACTCAACTGATTTATGAAATCTTTGAAGGGGGAAAAGTGATTAATAAAAATTTCTAATGTTGAATTTGTCTTAATAGCCTTTAGTTAATGTTGAACCTGCCAAAAACCACCAGCCTCATGGTTTGGGCTACTATTGCCACCTTTGCTACCCAGTTTCTCCAGCTTCTTCCCCAGGCTTCCTCCTCTAGTTCACTGCCAGCACTCACCTGACCATCACAGATTAAGTCTATTAATAGGAGCTGACAAGCTGGGCATGGTGTGTATGCCTGTAATCCCAGCAGCTCAGGAGGCTGAGGCAAGAGGATTGCAAGTTCAAAGCCAGCCTCAGCAAAAGCAAGGCGCTAAGCAACATCTGTAAGACTTTGTCTCTAAGTAAAATGCAAAATAGGGCTGGGGATGCTCAGTGGTTGAATGCCCCTGAGTTCAATCCCCAGTACCGCCACCCAAAAACATAGCTGACAAGTAATGGTGACATTACAAAGTTATAAAAAGACATTTCCTGAAATTTGAAGTGATAAGTGTTAAGCAGCTTGCTCTTCATCAAATGTGAAGCCAGATTTGCTTTTCAGAATCCTCTTCTGAACTCAGCCATTTGGCTATGCCCCAGCTTTGCTGGTTGGGAGCAGGGGAAGCTGCCAATCTTCAGTCCAAAGTGGATTTGGAGAAGAATGGTTGTCCAGGCCTATGTTCAAATGCTGCTGACTCAGAGAAAACTGGCCATATTTTACTGATTTATCTTCTTTGTTATCTGTCCTTCCCCTGATATGTCACCTGCCTTAGGACAGGGCCTTTGGCTTGCCATGTTAGTCTTCAGACTTAGAATAGTACCTGACTTAGCACAGGCATGCAAGAAATGCTTGCCAAATTAATGAACTTGCTTCCCAGCCTTTTTTCAGGATATGCTTTCCCCCGATTTTGAAAATCTTTTTGCTTCATATTTGTGTCTTTTGTTTTTTAGACTTCCCTGGTGAGTGGTAAATATTTTTGTGTCTTTGTATTTCAAACACATTTGGCATTTTCTTATTAGAAATACCAAGAGAAGTAGACTTTCAAAGTGATGTGATTTTGAAGATGATCATGGTCTAAATTTATCAGTTTATTACTTATCAATGTAATGATTTATGCAATGTTTTCTTTTTATATAATAGTGAAAAGAAGAGGTTGGACCTGGAAAAGAAACTTTGTGAATATAATCAGTCTGATATATGCAGGTAAGAGATGATAGTGGTGACATTTTTCGAGCCAATTTACATATGATGCCATGACATCATATGTAAATATGATGTTTAAATTTTAAATCAAAATTTAAACCCTAATGTCATGAATTCTGTATTTATAATGATTTGAAGTGAATGCTGCAATTTAATGTAATCACTATCAATAAAGATTATTTTAATCATTTGGTATTTGTGTTATTTCAAGACTGTTTTGCATAAATATTTTAATGTGAGATACAATATATAGTCTTATCTTTTTGATCACAATTTAAACATATTGAGCTTCTATAATGGTTAAGGCATATAACTATAATAGCTAAATTTTGAAGAAAACTGCAATAGGCAGGATTACCTAGTATGTCGTTTGTTTATGGATATATGAGAATTACTATTAAAAGTATTATAAGCAGTAGGAAATATATATGTATATACATGTAATATATGTTAAGAATAGATTTTTAATGTTTAATTTTATTAAACTTCATCCTTAAGCCAAATGGATAGCATTATCTCCTATATAATTCATATGAAGAATTTCTGACTATAATAGCATTAAACTTGTGATTTATCCATGCCACACTAAGAGTGAAAAATGAAAAGATCTCATCTAAAAAAAAGTCTAAGAATTCTTTAAAAGCAAATCACCATTAAGTCCATTTATTTTCTTATCTTCAAAATTATTTTTTTATTTTAAAATTTAGTATTTCTAAGGTTTCCAGTCAAGGTAGACATCCTTGACTGAAAGAGATGACCATTCTCTCTGGAAAAGAGACCATAGGCTTGTCTTGTCTCTGGAAGAAATAGTATTGAGAATGTCATGACATCAAGAGTGGGCCCATGTCTGAAGAGATCTGTGCAGTTGCCATTTTTCTCACTGATGGTTACAGGGGCAAACAGAAGACAGAATACAGTCTGTTCTTGGGCAGCTTCTTGGTATGGTAGTATAGAAAAGTGAGTGTGAGAGAAGTATGTGGATAGCTGAGGCTGATGCTATTAGGTTGCTGCAGCTGAGGGATTCTCTGTTGTCCCTCCATATTTCATTTTCATCATCTCTCTTCCCCCTTCCCCAAAATTCTGCACTAACTGAAACTTCAATATCTTAAGCACTATAAGATTTTTTTGTTGTATAGTGTAAGCAGCAGGCTCTATTGGCAAGTGCTTTAGTTCAGTTTGAGACTCTCCACTTCTTAGTCAAGTGACCTTGAGAGATTATTTCAATATTCTGTGACTACATCTGTCAAATGGGAATAGTGATACTTATGAGCACTCAGTGAGTTAATATGTAAAGAGCCTTAAAACACTGACCCAGAGGTAGAGTTAATAATTTTATTTTTATTGTATTTTTGTTAATATCCTCATTATTTTTCCTATTTATTGCTTTTGTGCTTTTCAACATGCTGTTGCCTCTGCCTGGAATGTTTTCCTCTACATCTCTTCATTCTTGCTTTTCCTCAGTTTGGGTTTACTTTTGTTCATCTTTCAGGTCTTAGCTAAAAACTTATTTACACTAGGAAGGCCTCCCTGCCTCTTTCAACTAGGTCAGATTGCTTGGTCTAGAAAAATTTCTTTAGTTTGCCTCATAGCATTTATCACACTGTTTTTATTTGTTTGTTTTCTTGTTGACTGTAGCTGTATCTATGAATGATTACATGGATGGATGGATGACTTACTAATTTGATCAGCTTTGAAGGGTATTGGGTGGCAGAAGACATGGTTACTATTGTACTTACTCCAGGTAGACTCTGGATACCACCACCAGCTTACTAATATGCTCGAGTATGAAAGACAGTATGTTAGGTTCTACCTCTATTACTGTCAAAAATATAGCAGCAATAAAAATAAACTTTTTATGCAGTAAGAAAAATGGAGACAGCCAACCATAGCCAGAGCATAGCATTATTAGCACAATAATTTCTTGAAAATTGTTGGTTTAGGTTTAAGGTCTATGATTAATTAATTTTGGAAACCTTCCCCCATCTTTGCAAATTGGTGTTTTGAGAATGAATATGTTTGTGACTTTTTAAACTATTTTTGCTTGATGAAAAAGTATTGAATAGTTTTTTGAGGCAACAGCATAAATGCTGCACAACCTGTGCTCTTTTATAATTTAAATATTTGTGAAGCATTAAGAATCAGAATTAGCAGTGTCGGTACCATGGAGAGTAATCTGTGGGGTTTTTTTTCACATAGTCCATATATTATTAGAGAATACTTTAATAATATTGTTGTAATGTCTAAAAATATTTTTTATGTTATCTAAATGAAGCTTTTCTGGTATTTAAAAATTTCTGCATTTTTTTGGATTATGGTTTATCATTTGATTCTGTTTCCATGTGAGCAAATAGTTTTAACATTGTTTTATAAAGATGTCAGGTTGTGTATCTTAAAATGGTCATGTAGATACCACTGTTGAAATCACATTTAATTTTGAGAAATAAATCCATATAAATCTTTATAATAAACACTATTATCATGTGTTCTTATATACATTTCTCAGGAGAGTTTTTGCCATGATGTAACCAACACAGTATCTTAGTGGCATCATATTAATTTTCTCTAAAAAATATATACATTCTGTCCTTTGGATTTTATTGTTTGGGTAAAATATCTTAGATTTGATTTTTTCATTAACAGTTTTATTAAAGAATACTCTTCTGCTTAGGTTGAGTCAAAGTCTAACTCTGTTGTTTTTACATCTTTTTTCAGGGTTAAGCTGAAATATGTAAAACTGAAGAAATACCTGAAGGAAATATGTGAATCTGAAAAGAAGGCTCGTACTCGAAACCAAGAATATTTAAAACGATTTGAGTGTGCTAAAGCTCATGTTGGACACTTTACCACAAATATAGAGAAGCTTCAAGAACTGAAGGTGATGTCTTGTTTTGTACTGTTTTGTAAAATCTTTTTTTTTTTTGTACTGGAGATTGAACCCAGGGACACTTAACCCTGATCTTTTGTAGTATAGTGTATATTTTGTAATATAGTGTAGTATACTGTGCCATGTCCCCAACCCTTTTATTATTTTATTTTGTTATTTTAAGACAGGGTTTTGCTAACTTACTAAGTTGCTGAGACTGGCTTTGAACTTGTGATCCTCCTGTTTCAGCTTCCCAAGCCACTGGGAATACAGGCTTACATCACTGCACTCAGCTAAAATCTTTTTCAGATTAGTGGCAGTCACTATAATGTTCAGCTGTTTGTGTTGAAGACTAAGTATCAGCTTTTTCTGTAAATTACCACATGACCAATATTGATCTTAAACCTTTAAGTTATATTTTCTAATATTCCTACTATAGTTGAAGAATTAATGGAATATTTACAACATAGGCAAGGTCTCTAGTCAGTACAAGGTATAGGGTCTAACGTGGTATTTATTGAAGGAATTATTGAATGTGAGCAGCATTAGGGTTTCCTTTAGAAATTTCTTCCTTCTTAAAAAAAAAATCCTTTTTATGTGGTCTGAGCTCTTTCAGGTCAAATGTGCACTTGGGAAGCCCTGAGGGGTGGAAATGGCCCTGAGGATTCTTTCATGCTCCTGGGCTATGTGACCCTGAGCAGCTGATTTATGAGACCATCTCTGATTCAGGCTCCTTATTCTTCTCCAGTATTTGGCTTCCTGCTGCTCCACAAATTATGCTAAGTGTGGCAAGCCAGGAAAGAGGCATTCTTCCTTACTATTTTCCCTGAATAGGCATGTTACCCAAATTAACCAAATAAACACTAGTTACAGGAAAAATTGGCTTATGTATTTCCCTTTCTTTTTGCTCTAGCAGATTTTCACTAGCTTAATTTTATTGCAGAAATTTCAAATATACAGAAAAATCATAAAAGTTCTTTTAATGAGCACTTATGTATTATCTACTTAGATGCAACAATTTAAATATTGGCTATATTGCTTTTTGCATGCCATTTGTATTTTTTTTTCTCTGAGCCATTGCAAGTCTGTTGCATATATCATGACACTTTTCTCCTGAGCACTGGAGTGTGGATCTCCTGAAAATAAGGGTGGGCTCCTACATAATCATAATGCATTGTTATATAAGAAAACTAATAAGAATTCCATAATATGATTTAATATATATAGTTCATATTCAAATTTCTCCAGTTCTCCCAAAAAGTACCTTATATTTCCAGACTATAAGCCCACTATTATTTGTTGTATTGTTAGTTATTTTTTTAATTTTTTAAATCTGATTTTATCTCCTATGGCCTGCCACTTAACATTTTTTCTTTTTCCATGACATTGGGTATTTTGAAGGTAGGTCAGCTACTGACCATTGTGAATTTCCCCATTTTTACTGTAAATTGGAAATGTGGTTGAGACCAGCACTACCCAACTAAAATTTCTGCAGATAGAAATGTTGTATATCTATGCTAATGCTAATTCGATGGCCACTAGCCATATGCGGCTTCTGCGCCATTAAAATGTGGATCATGACACTGAGGACTATATTTTTAATTCTGTTAATTTAAATTAATTTAAGTAGTTACAAGCAATATTATACTTACCACAACATCCCATAAGGAGGCCCGTGATATAAGATAGTCCCACCTGAGTGATGCTGACTTTGATCTTCTGGGTAAGATAGTGATCTCTAAATGTGATCTCTATTGTTCAGCTTTGTAAGTAGTAAATTATCTGTGGAGTGATGTTTTGGCATCACTGGACTATCATGTTCATCACTAGAATTTTACCTAGTGATATTGGGATCTGTTAATAAATCTTGCCTGAATCAATTATTACAGTGGAGATTGTGAAATGATGATTTTTCTGTTTTTAATCTTCTGGTGGCTTACTTTTCTATAACAAAGAGCATTTTCTTCCCTCCCTCTATGTATTCTCTTTCTTTTTTTTTTTAATATCACAGTGGACTTATGAATTCCTTAATCAGTATGTTATCAATTACTATAATTATTTTTTGTTGCTCCTGTTGTCCCAAACTTGGCCAGTGGGAGTCTGTTTTTAGGGTGCTGGTTATAGAACCAGCGTTTTGTGTATGCCAACTTCACGTCCTACCACTGAGCTACACTTCCAGCCAATGGGAGTCTCTTTAGATTGGCTCCTGTGTCCTTTTGACGAAACCCCTTAAATTCTAAGCCTTCTTTGCTTTAAATATAACAAGATATTTCATGTTGCCTAATATTTTCCCTGTCTTAGAAATAGATATTGCCTTTTACCTAGAGAGCTATGGTTGCTCTAAGCAGGGAAGGGTGTTTAGCAACCAAGCTCTGGGGGTTAACTGTGCTTAATCCATAGCAAGTTTTAGCTACAGCACTTCAGTTTTGTCTCTTACTAGTATTCAAGTAGAATGCTTAAATTCCAAAAAACACTTTTTGGAGATTTCACAGAGAAAAGTGAGAAAAGTGTCTACCAGAGAAAAGTGGTAGACAAAACAGGGAATTTTTACCTTCCCAACTGAATAAAGGACATAATAGCAAATGTCCTCTTACTTTCATATTGTGGCTTATTTAAATATTGATTTCTCATTATAATCAAATGTGGATCAAGAAATTTCAAAGAATCATCATTTGTAAATATTTTCATATTGAGAATATTAGTTGTGAATAATAGGATAGGTAAAAAAGAATATATGATGAGCTACTAAAGGATATCGGTATAGGGCACCATTTTAAAGAAAAGAATGACAAATTGTATTCATAGAAATATGAAAAGCTTTATTCATAAACATGGTTCAAAAGTTGCATAAATGTTGCTTTTTGAATTTTGGATAACAAATGCCTTTTTAAAATAATTCTGCTAATGGCTTAAAAGAGCAGATCATGTAGCAGATCATGTGTGAAAGACAAGAGTTCTATGAAAAACTGTTCTTTAACCATCACCCTGAGTCTAAAGTCAAGTGCTTATTGTGTGTCCATAAAACTAGACAGTGGTGTCAGCAACCCAGCCAGTGATACCAGTAGTTCAGTAGACTGGCCACTAAGCATAAGTTCAAGTAGGGGATGTTGGTCCTTTGTGTCTTCTCATTTCTTTCTGCTGCTTTTTTTCTATGCCAGTGCTGGTAGTGACCTTAGATATGATGGAACCACTTGTCTCCTATTAATGCTTCTGCATTCAGGTATCAGGTCTTTATCTTCTTTGTAGGCCAACCCCAGATAAATCGTAGGAGAATGGTGTCCATAGTGCTTTGCCCACACACCCCAAAGTGCCAGGGATATTTCCCCCTGAGAAGTGTACACTTAATGCAAATGAATTCCAAATTGGTAGAATTTCAGAAAGTGAAACAAAGTAAAACAGTATGGGAGAGGTGGGTATTTTGCCCAAATTTTACTAAGATTTCTCCTTCTTTATAGAAATGGGATGGGTCCTCCTTAGTACCTATGTAATGTTAAATATTTTAAAATGGGATAAAAGCTGAAAAAGAGTTTCAATTGATTTTATGAATCATAATGTTTTCTGGGGGCCTATAATAATTTTTAGGGCTTGCTAAAGATATTGATCTTTTTAAAATTGTTTTGAGAATATTGTGTGGCAGTGTTGCCACTTGTCAGACGGGTGAAGAGGCTGAATAAACTCAATGCAAGAATGTAAATTTTGCCAGGCACAGTGGCACACACCTGTAATCCAGGCAACTTGGGAGACTGAGGCAGGAGGATTGCAAGTTCAAAACCAGCCTCAGCAAAAGCGAGGTGCTAAGCAACTCAGTGAGACCCTGTCTCTAAATAAAATACAAAATAAGGCTGGGGATGTGGCTCAGTTGTCAAGTTCCATCCCTGGTAAACGCACCCCTCCTCCCCCAGAAAAAAAAGAGAGAATGTAAATTTTAGTATTAATAGTGCTAGAAGATTATGTCTTTCACTTCCTCATCCTGCTCCCCAGAATGCTTTTATAGAGGGGACCTCAGTTGGTTCTAACTTAGAGCAGTTTTTCCCAGGTGCCCTTTGTCCTTGTCTCAGATTGGGTTCTCCCTAAGCAAACCCAGAGATAATGACTATAAGTGGTTTATTTGTAAGATGAAGAAACATCAGTAGGCAAATGAGAGAAGTGAGGCAGGGGAGTTGACAGGGTATGTTATTGAGCCAACTTTCACAGTAGGCACTAAAGCTTAAGCATACAAGGAAATTGGCAAGTGGTTGGAAGCATTTGGGATTATGTATACAGTAGCTCCTGAGCAGCATGGATTGAGAATTGATAGGTGGAGGTACAGGGAGTAGGGAGCCAACCATATGCTCCTGTGAGCAGAGCAGCCTCCCCAGGTTCTGAGGAGGCACAGAGACCCAAATACTGGAAGTTGGGAGCACCCAGAAAGGTCCCAGGGACAGGTGTAGAGCATTGCAAACATCTGCTTAACTTCCCTCACAACAGCAGTGCCATGCATGGAGCTGACACATCAGGGCATTCAAGAAGAGTCCCCTTACTGGGTGAGAGTTATCATCTTGTTACATTTCTCCCCTGCCTGAAGTGCTGTTTCGGTATTTTTAGGAGAAACCCTAGATGCTGATCTCTGCCTGCATACAGCCCATCTAGCCTTAGTCATGCATATAAACACACATGTATGTGTGCTCTCCTTCTGCCTCTCCTTGTTTCTCTCTCTTACACAAGTATACAGATGTGTACAATTTTCTGCCTCCTTTCTCCCTGACATGTCCCCATCTCCTTATTCCCATTTCTGTCTCTCCCTTTCATCTCTTCCCTATATCTGTCTCCTTGCCTCTCCCTACACTCAATACCCCACCTCTTTCTCCCCGAGGTCCTCTAGCTTGTTCACCTCCATATCTTCCCACTATTTCTCTACATCTTTTATCTCCTGTACACATGTGTACTTGCTTTCTCTCACACTCTCTCTAACATGCACATATGTACACACTCATACTTACTCACATGCATCCTCAGTACTTTAAACCTGCTGAACAATTTAGATTTCTTTGAAATTTTCACATTATCTTATAACCGTTTTTCAACTAGAAGGCCTTTATGCCCTGACCTGCCTTAAGTCTGTGTCATAGTTAGTAAGCACTTCCTTCATGGTATTATAATTGTTTACATGTCTGCTTTCCCATTTTGCAATAAGATCCTTGTCTTGTTATTTCAATGCTCTCAAATGTCTGACCCAGAATATGGCATGCAGTAAGCACTCAGTAAGCATTGAGATTCCCCCCTTGACTGAAAATTAATTCCACCATATTTTTTGTCTTTTTCTCTTATGGACCATGAACAGCTATGAAAGAATTAATGTGGAATTGATTATACCAAATGTTATACCTTCCCAGGAAGCATTTGTGCTTAATAGCAGAGACATCATGAAAATGTCACTATTAAAAGCTGTGATTCTCCTTGAAAATTCTGTCATTAGGTTATCTGTGCTGAAAGGGGATAAAATTTGAGAACAGTTCTCTTGAGTGCTCATTCAGATTTCTACTAAACATTATGGCAGACATTGTGGGCAGGTCACGACATTCAGACTCCTGAAGGACAAGATCTGTAGCAAATCCTATACTTTATCAACTAGTATGTCATCTCTGTTAATATATATTAATTGAATAAATAAATGTCCCCCCAAATCTTTTGGTAAAAGTTTACCATCTAGAAGGAAGCAGGGAAGAAAAAAACTGTGAATTATAGTCTCATATTTTGTATTCACCCAAGAATCAATTCAACTTACTTAATAAAACCCATTTTTTCAACTGTAATATGAGGAGGCAGGGCCAGCTGATCTTAAATATCTATTCAATTCAACTATTCACTTTTCTATAATTGAGAATTACTGTACAATCCCAAGGACCAAGTGAAACAAGGAAGCTTGGGGAAAAAAGATAGTGGTGGCATCATCAGGCAAACAACAGTGTGACAAAAGAAAATAGAGGAGGGAAAGTAAGAATATAGAAAGAAGAAGGAAGCAAAAAGGAAAATGGGATGGTCACAGAGACATATATATCCCAGTGATTTGAAACATCTGCAAGAACATTCATCTCCTCTTCCCATGTTCCCAGCTTATTGTTAACAGATTTTTGTAATTAAGCTAAAATAAATTGTGCAGTGAGGTACTAAATGGGAAGATCCTTTTAATGTTTAGGTGGCAGCATCAAGCCAATATCATGAAGCAGTACAGTAATGAGAAGAGTGAGTTACCAGGTGGGCTAATTCAATGCTCTTAGGTTATTAAAATAGCTTTCATTTCCCAGGTTGAGGGCAAATATGAGGGGATTATCCTTTCAGGAATCAGACAGTGCTACTGGAGCATGGGTTGTTTAGCCCATGAAGCAACAAATTTGACCATGAAAAGTTTAGGTCATGTGGCAGGAAGGGGACAGGAATACATTCCAAACCCTGATGTATTGTGAAAATAGAAGAAACACAGAGGGCCTGATTGGAAAAGAAATTAGGAATGGAATGTTGAAAGACTGACAATTAGAGATAGAGGTGCAAATAAGGTCATATGTACTCTGATGTCACATGAGATATTTTTAACTGGGAAAGTCTTAGAAAGATTAATCTACCTAGTATTTTCTAAACTTAAAAAAAAATCTTTAAAGTAGTAGAATCCTTTGTTTATAATGCAATTAGAACGAAGTGGGACTAGGGAACCTTATGGTCCAGCAGAGCCTAGTTGAAAACCCCCCCTCTCCAGCTTTTCAGAAGGTGGATTTTATTGTTAATAACCAAGTAAAAATAAGTGTATAAAAACAAAAGGCAGAAAATAAATAAAAGGCAAAAGAGAACAAAGTACTTTTAGGTAGTGGTTGCAGAGTTATAGTTTTTATCAATTTGTCAGTAGTACAACTCTGGTTTCGAAATACATTGTACAGTTTTTCTGTACATTAGTACTTTAGAAAGAGTGACCTATAGTTCAGTAAAATTTTCAGATATATTAAGAAAAATCTAAATTGGACTCTTTAAGATAATTTTCTTACTCTTTTTATTTTCCTTGGTACTGGGAGTTGAACCCAGGAATGCTCTCCCACTGAGCTACATCCTCAGCTCTTTTTATTTTTTATTTTGAGATGATCTCACTAAGTTGCCCAGGCTGGCCTTGAACTTGTGATCATCCTGCCTCAGCTTCTAGGATAGCTGGGATTTCAGGCACGTGCCACCATACCCTGTATTTTTTTTAACTATTCTTTATGAAGCTTTTATGTAGTTATCACTTTTATTTTGCTTCAACAAAAGAATTGAATAAAACTCATGTTTCCATAAGAAAATGCTCTATCTTTGGAAGGTATGACTTAAATAATCCCATAATGAAAATATCAGGTACAAAGCCCACTGATCTCAAAGAGCAAAAGGAAATGTTTGTAGTCACAAGAAAAAATAATTTTTAAAAAAATCTCTAATTAGATGTTTATATCGTAATCTAGTTAACCTCCTTTTTTAAAGATACTTTCCTTTGGAATCTGTAAAGTATGCCTGTTTAAGGCACTTAAAGTTAAAAACGAAACATCTATAAATTTAAAGAAGTAGATGTAAAACACAGATATGTAAATTGTATTTTCATAATTGCCTTATTTGCTTATCTTTTATTGGTTTATTATTTTGTCACTTGTACTGGCCTTATAAAACTTTAATTAGGTATCTATTTTATCTATTTAGATTATTACTGCCCTTCATCAGGTTAATAACATTTTGCTACAGAAAAAAATTCCTATTATTAAAAAGGGGGCAGCATATAATACCTTTTAAAATATTTTGAGGGAAAGAAATCAGTTTTGGCCATTATTGCCTATGCATTTTTTGTTTGTCAAAACAAAGCTTAGGCCTGTTTACCATTCAGACTGAGAACTGATGAAATAGCTTTCTAATTTGATTGTCTCGTGGTGTGTTTCTTTTTTAACTTTATTTTTATGTATGTTTTTATTGCAATGAGCAGCTGTTTTATTTAGAAAATGTTCTGATACTTATCTGTGATGGAACACAAGCAGTGACTTTTTTAAGGCTTTAATTACTAGTGTACTGAATCAAGGTGCTTTTTCTATGCCTTGCATTTAAGAAAAGTCATTTGATGATTTAATCATTTCAATCTATTACAGTGTGGTAATGATACAGACATTCTTAATGTAGTTATTAGTACCAGAGCAAACTTGATTTTTAAGATACTGATGACTGACTGCAGTATATTTCTACTTTAAGTTGATGTCTAGCAAATAATATACATAATGGCTGTGACTGTTAGGACCATGATATAATGTAGGTGTCATGTAGATAAAAATCAGTTGGACTGATTTTTTCCCCTTTAAGATATAACTTTTCAAAGAAAATCTTTGATGTCAAATGTTTTACTTTCATAACCAAGTAACTAGATTTACATGATAATATAATGAAAGTATCAAGCTGTTAAACATATCAAAGTTTTATTCCCTAAAAAGATTTTAATAAGTGAAACTCCATCAATCCTTGTTTTATTTCAAAATATATGTAACGTTTTATTGAATTCAACATTTTGGTATATGTTACTTTTGAAATTGTCTATTTTTCTAAGATAAGTTGAATTTCTTGATAACATCAGCTTTTACTTTCTAATTTACTATTCCTTTTATATTATTAAGACTGCAAGATATGAATAAGTTCTAGTTAATAATATCCAGCACAAAATCAAATTTGTTTATATTTAGATTGAATATGAGTCTCAACTTAAGAAGATGCAGCTACTCTCAAAAGATAGACTGGGAATAAAGGGTGAACTGAAAAATGAAGAGAGACAGAAGGTAACAAATTAAAATGATAAAATTTCTATTAACAAACATCTTTTTGGTTAAACTTTAAGTGATTATTTAAAGATTTTTACCTATTTCCTATTGCTTTAATGTCTAACTTAATTAAATTGGCTGAAAGCAATCACTTTGGGGTTAAGATTTAGATTCCCAAGAAAACCTCAGGGTTAGTAGGTAAAATTGTGTTTTTCTAAATAATGCTTTGTAACTACTTTTTCTTAGTTTGAGAAATGTTTTCAATGAAAATGTGGTATTTTGATTCTTTCCTTTATATATAATTTTGTACATTTTAACCTTCTCACAGAGAAAGTGGAAAGAAGAGATTGCATATCTAAGCAATAGACAAAAAGACCAGCAAGGAATACTTAAATAAATTCTGCTATGTATCTGCCATAATGCAGGCTTCTAATCCTCCTGCCTATCTCCATATAAATGATTCTGTTCAAGACCATAGATGTTTTCTTCACTAAAAGCAGTAAAGCTCTTTTAGATGAAATGTCTAAAAACATCTTGTAATAACTTGGAGCATGCTGGCAAGAGTAGTCACTTGTGACTATATGTGAAACCCCCTCAGCCAGTCGATATTGTAATAAGCAAAAATGGTAGCATCACTCCATTATTCAGAAAAGCCAACAGCGTGCTTGTTCCTTAGGCTGCAGCATTCATTAAGAAAAGCTTACTGGGCTGAAAGCTGGAAACAGATGATAACGGGATATGATTTTCATATTTAATGCTTTCCTTGGAAGAGTATGTGTGCTACAGATTGATAGAAGAATCAACTGCTACTTTACTAAAAGACTTTCAGGTTTGCCCTATAGCTACCGATGGAATCATTCAGCCAAGAAATTAACTTTTTCTCCTTTTACCTGCTTTATATATCTGCTAAGCAGGCTGCCTGGCTGCCAGTAAATGTTATTATGCAGTTAACTGTTTGGTATTTAAGACTCTTATCAGAAAAGAAACAGAGGCCACACTATTTTGTTTTTATAGTAGGAGGAAGGTTTTAGTTTTTCTTTCTTCCGTGCATTAGCAGGCATTAATCTGAGTTTATAGGAAGTTTTAGTTTTTCTTCCCCATAGATTAAAAAGTTAAAAAACCTAGAATTTAGAGCATTCTTTAAACTGTAAGATACAAAACACCAAGCTCCAGCAACCTTGACCTATATAAAAAGGCCTTTAATGATAAATGATTTATATGCCATTAGATGTAGGCCAAATGTGGTATGATGTGATAGACTTCTAAACCATTCAGCCAGTTTTCCTGTTTGACATTCAGTCATGAAATAATTGACATGTTTTTAATCTACAAACTAGCATGTTCTTTCTATGCTATTTCTGATAGACACATTCTTAGTATGGCAGTGTCAATGGTACTTAAGTAATGTGGGAGACTTTTTTTCTATTTGCGCTACTTTTTTTTCTATTTGCACTACCTTGCACAAAGTTATGGAGTCTTCTTTTAAGTTATATTTAAACAGAAACAAGAGACACAGTGCTGACAACACTGTAAAATGTTTAATAACTAGAATGAAGTTTTTCCCTTTTGATTGAAAATTGTCATCTTTGATTATTAAATCTTTGACTATTTGACTGTAAGAATCAATTAGGTAACATTTTGAGAAACTTATATCTTGCCTTTTTCAATTTTCTATTGATGTTCAGTCAGTTAAAAGGTAAATACATTGCAAAAAAATCATGACAGTTAATCCTTATTATACACTAATTCCCAAATTCTTTATGAGTAATGTTGTATTTTTATTGGAAATCCAAGTTCTTTTTCTTTTAGTAGTCATATGAATTAGCCTCTGAGCCCAGTGTCTCTGGTCTCCAAGGACTTACCTAGTACACATACAGTCTCACTGACTGAATTCAGTATATAGTTGTTGAGCAACTGTTCTGTTTGAAAAGCCACAGTAGGTCCCTCTATAAATGTCACAACTCTTGCTCTCAAGGTGCTTTCTCACGAAGCAGTACTCTTTCTAAGGCACAGGATAGTGTGTGATAAGTGACAATTACAGGGAACAGGCATGAGCAACATGAAGAAAGGTGGGACTACTTCTTTTGCAGTGAGTAACCCAAGCCTTGGTGGAGGGGTTGGTGCTTGAACAAGCATGGAAGGATGAGTAGAATAACGATCAGTGGAGGTGTGTAGATACTCTAGGAGTAGGAGATGTTTTAAATAAAGGAGTAGAAATAGGAAATACCAGAGGGTAGTTGTCCAGTCTGCCTGAAATCTAAAGAGCTTGTAGAGATAATGGACAGATAAATCTTGAGACTTGGTACCTGGAACTAATGCCCCAGGCTCAGGAATTGAGATTTACTCCTAGAATTATCATTGTAAGAGTGTGTGTTGGGGCAGATGATGTAAAGACTTGTGAGTACAGTGGTTCCATTATAGGACTGAAGCTGCAGGAAGATGAGGCTAGCAGTACAAAGCAGTATGAACCTGGGGAATGAGCATATGGAGCTGAGGAAATCAGGGACAGTGTGAACATGAGGAATTAACCAAGGGCCTGGATTTGGGGTGGTTGTTGCAGGGGAAAGCACTAATAAGAGGGGATGCTGTATCAAATTAGTGATGATTCTGAATTATAAAAAGATAGTTTTAAAAATTTAGCAAAAAGCAATGACTTGCATGCCAAGAAAAAATCATCAAGTAATGGTTGTCAATTTTTTAAATGTAAAACTCTAGCTCAGTTTTGTTGTAAGACATCCATTGTTTGCATGCATCCAGTGGCTGCTCTTTAGAGTCACATATTCTCTTAAGAGGATGAATAACTGGCCATCATCCCCCAAGTTTATTTGCATTCTTTTATAAAAATTGTTTATTTGCTTTTTTTTTTTACTTCTACATGACAATAGAATATATTTTGACATATCATACAGACATGGAGTATAACTTCCCAGTTTTGTGGTTGTACATGATGTGAAGTTACACTGGTCATGTATTCCTATATGAACCTAGGAAAGTTATGTCCAATTCATCCCACTGTCTTTTTCCTATTCCCATCCCTCCTCCCTTCTCTTCATTCCTCTTTGTCCATTCTTAATTTAGTTAGAAACTTCAGATAGTGAAAAGACAAAGTCAAGGCCTCATTTGAATTCTCACAAATTTTACTATAATTTAATAATCCTCCTCTCTATTACATATTGTTATCTTTTATTTTGGGGTAAACTCTCATTTTGTTTATCTCTAGGCATGTTCTTCGACATGTTCTTCTGATTGCTGAGTGTTTTGGTATGAGCTGTGATTAGAGAATATATATATATATATATATATATATATATATATATATATATATATATAAACATCAAAACGTATGTAGTCATGGCATTTTTGAGTGAGAGTATAAATTTTCTATTGTCCTGTGACATATATTCTATTAGAAACAGAAATGAACTGATAATACTCTTCCAGGGCTGGAGAACAGTGCAAGATCAGGGAATCTCATCACAGGACTAAAGTCTGCTTGGGGAGTGTCCCCTCCATTGTTATAACCCTACCTGCAAGTAGGAGAATGGCTATGTAAGTTGTTACTTTTACAATGGGTAGTGACTTTTTCTGTGTGTTAAGTGCTACATTCACATTTTATGTGCATCAATTCTAACCCTTTCACATCTTTATTTTATTTATTTATTTTTATCTGATGCTGAGGATTGAACCTAGTGCCTCATGTGTGTGAGACAAGTGCTCTACCACTAAGCCACAAACCCAGCCCCAATTCTAACCCTTTAAATAATCCTGAAAATAGATGCTATTATTATTCCTATTTTATAAGGCTCAGAAAGGTTAGTTAACTTGCCCAAGGCTGCATAGCTAAACAGAGCGAAAATTCAAATCCAGAACATAGCTAAACAGAGCCAAAATTCAAATCCAGAACACTTGTGCTATTAGCCACCTTGCCACAATGTCTTCAAGGTAGTATGAAGGCAGTGCTTTTCAAAGTCAGGAGAAATTCCCGTTGTGATAAAAACAACTTTAGGGACTACATTTTTTTTTAAAATTGTAGTTGTAGATGGACAGATTGCCTTTTTTTAATTTTTATTTTTATGTGGTGCTGAGGATCAAACCCAGTGCCTCACATATGCTAGGCAAACACTCTGCCACTGAGCTACAGCCCCAGCTCTAGGTACTACTATTTAACCTAACCACAGGAGGAAATGAAATGGTCTCCCTTGGTGCTGTAAGATTCCAGTTGAATCAGGTCAACCATGGCAAGCAGAGTGCCCATTTCTAAACTGCCCAGAAAGGAGCATCCAACCTTGCCCAAGCAGAAGAAATACTTTCAGCTCAACTGAAGAAGAACTTGAAGAGAGAAAGCCTGAATAGTCATTAAAAACAGATATATGCCTTCTGTGCAGGGATGAGCCATGAAGTAGCTTTAGCCATGAATTTTAACTTGTCAGCAGAGGTGACTGAGCTGTAACCAGGAATAGCCCTACTGTAGGAGAGGCATCAGACAGAAGGTGACACCTCAGTGTTAGATGGCAAGAAGCATTCTTTCATTCCTAATGGGTCAAGACTGCTTCTCTCAGAATCTGAGCAGTATATATAAGACCAGGGCAGCCACTGTAGGGCAAGGCCCGTTGCCTATGGGTAAAGGAACAGACACCTTTATATAAAGTGTCCTAAAACTATCCTGCAGTATCCCCATAAGACCAGGGCAGCCACTGTAGGGCAAGGCCCGTTGCCTATAGGTAAAGGAACAGACACCTTTATATAAAGTGTCCTAAAACTATCCTGCAGTATCACCATTGAAAAGCAAATGACTGAGGTTGGAATTCCCTGGAAGCATATCCCAAGATTGAGTGCAAACAGTTTATTTAGTAGGTAGTCCCAGGAAGTACATACAATGAAGGAGGGAGGAATGTTGACACAGGGAAGAGAAAGAAGCCAATGGGAGTGTGTAATTGAGTAGATCACCATTGTGAGCCTGTGACACTCAGATCCACAGGGAACCCTGGAATACTGTATAGCATGTGCTCCAGAAGTAT